GTGATCTGGTGCGGATGCATGACCGAGCGCCTTCAGCTAGGTGAGTCCATTAAAACTAATGTGGTCAGCATCCAATGTCGAAAACTTACAGAGCTAATTATTTTGGGGATTTATTTACCGCTACAGTGATTTAGAACAACATATGTATGCGAACAATTTTGTTTTCAATTAGATCTTCATCAGGCTTTACTCTAATATACAGTAATATTTGTATGCATATACGAAATTATTAAAGCAATCAAGGCAGTTTATAATTCAGTGATAACAGTGCAATAAATTACATAAATAAAACTAATGAGTAAAGAGTACAAATTGATAGTGCGATGACAGGTGTAGTAGTTGTGATAAGAATTATAAAAGCTTGTATCCAAGTCTCATTAGTGAAAATTAAGTCAGTAACTTGAAAAATAGACACTGAGATAGCATTCATAAAAACTATAAGATTATGAAATAAGTTTCCAGATGACTGGACAATGAATCGTATATTTGGGAAAACCATAGGTGGAAGGGGGTGAAGAAAAATAAACGAACATATAGTGTAGAAAATAATTCAGAATAATTTACTAAGTTTGTTTACTTATTTATTGAAGGCACTTATGATTAAGTGGTAGCTCAGGGAGCAATTGTACTGACCTAGTTAAAGTTTTGATTAGTCCTCCCAGAATGTCTATCCAGGACCAACGACCTTCAGCTAGCCGATGACAAGATAGCAGTGGGTTAACAACCTAGAATAACGCATAATGACTACTGATCCAGGGTGAAGTTTCTTATGCTTGCCCATAAAATAGTTAGAATAGAACACAACACTGTGAGCAAGTAACCTCTAATTACACAATTCGAATTTATGAATTACTCGTACAATAATATACGGTGAATTACGGACTATATATCAACACAATTAAGAAATTACAATATGTGCATAAATATGTCATAAGTCGAAGTGGAATGGATGAAAGCGTTACGTCCTTGATAAGTCTACCCACTTTCGGTGCTAAGGATAACTTGCCTAATCTAGATTAAGACCTTAACGCGAGAGGCTGACCGGCTTAACCTTGATGGCTATAGTATGCGTGAGTTAGAAGTGGGTTAGAGATGAAAACTGTTCTATCACCTGATTGGCTGACAAGCACGTGAGTGAGAGTAGACAAGTCAGCTGGAACACTACTCGACTTATTCCCGATTCCGGATTAGTGTAAAAGAGTAAGTGAAAAAATAGATGACAAACCTGACCACAACGTACAATAGTTAGGAAAATACAACAATGTTCAAAACTGGAGATTAGCGTAGAAAATAGAGTACAAAATAATTAGGGGGATACAAAAATATAGTAATTTTAATATTTAGAAATTATATAACAAAAATATAAGCAATGACACCAGGTAGGACAGTTCCAAAAGTTCATCTGTGCTTAATATTTTCAGTGATTAAGCATTTATACTTTTAATAAAATAATCATTATCATTTCAATGAATTACCATACTTAAGTTCATATAAAGATGACAAATGGATGCTGAGCATGAACCAAGTAGAAGTAGTTTTTGCTCGCATTGTCATTCATGCGTAATAATTGACTTTGATATCGGAAAGACCAAGACAATGTTGATCCGTAGTCGACGCCTTGTTTGGTGTGCTAAGAGAACCTCTTTTCATTAGGAGTTTTAACAAAAATATTCCTTTTAAGTCCAGTTGTTTGCTTTAGGACTCTACTTGTTAATTAGAACTATTTAGTGACAAAAATACACATTGCAGGATTTCTAAACATTGCAAATATTGCGTTCCTAACATCTACAAACATATACACAATTATATTACGATTATTTGGTGGATAAACCATGGTAGAATAGTTTTGCATTTTCAATATGACATAACCATCATTTATTGGATAATCTAAATTTTTCATCGTCAAATTTCATAATCAATCAAGTGTAAACCTGATTTCAAAGACTCTCCAAACATGTCACGATTATTTTTCAACTACCTGTCTTAATTGTTATTCTTAATAGGATATCGACTCTAACGTCTAACACCTTTACTACTTATAAATGAAAAAATGAATATCTGTTAAACATAATTATTAAAAATCTAGTAGTCTATAACGGCAAATAATTCATATTTTATGATAGATGTAGGGCAACTGCTTAAAGTCGATTGTGAAAATTATTTCAAATTTATATTGAACAATAAGTGAAATGAAACAATGTCCGAATCCCACAACTGGTTTTCCAAGTCTAAATCTAAAATAGGTCAGCATATCTACGAAATAAACTAATTATAAATAAAAGACACATTATGTAAAGTTCACTTATGTAGAATATCACAAAAATTATTAAGTTGGTATACTCCAAATTTGCACGCCGTAGATAATATCCATACTGATCAGTAAGAGTGAAAATAATACAAAAATCTGAAAAATGTTTAAAAGGTCACCGGTAATTTATTGGTATTCCCATACCGCGAAGAAAACAAACTTCTCTTCGTGTCAGTAAATCGACCGTGCTGAACTGGAAAAACTACAGATCTTCTAAGTGCCAGCACAATATGCGGACAACTGTAGACACATATTTGACTGGAAAAATGTTGAATCCTTGGATAAAGGGAACATGAATATCACCGGAGAAATTTAAGAAGCTTGACACTCAAGTCAATCAGCGATCAACAACACACATCGAAGTCGATCCAACTCACCAACTTATCACGAAAATCATGGAGAAACATAGGACCACGAAGTAGATTAAAGGGAGATAGAATCAAAATAAAGAGATATACAATGACAGGCTAGAGGTCAATAACAGCCTGTGATAATCGAGAGGACAAGTAGTGAGTCATGTGTGGTGTAATTCGAACACTTCAATCTTGCCAGATGTTCGTGCTGATAATGTAGTTCAGAAGATAAATGAAAGCTTCATGACCAAACGATCCAAACCGGAAAACAAAACCACCCAAGTTGCTGGTTGCGTATCTCTTTCCATAGTTACGTCAGCAAAAAGTAATATGTCTGAAGATACCTGTTGTGGAAGATCGTTTATACAAATCAAAAAACGAAGAGGTCCTAGTACTGAACCCTAAGGGACCACAATAAGACGTTCCATACCCTGGGAGAAAGTGAAGTTATGGATTTAATTCACGTTAGTGAATAACAGAATGGAACAAGTCAAATAAGATAATGTTTTTGAATATACATATATACTTCTGTTATAACTGAAAAATAATGCTGATTAAGGGTAGCGAATTATTGATCGGACCAAAGACGCGCAAACACGTAGAACGACCTAGGGTTCTGATTGGTCTCGCTTCCCTGTCTAGCCCAGTTAGTTGAGTCCAGAACACAAGTTTCAGCCTCGGATATATGAATCATTATATTTCAAACATACTTTGTTTATATACCATACATACAGATGGTAAGGGAAAAGAAGCGGATTGGAGAAATCCAACATGCTTACTCTATTTAATCAAACTAACTTACGTTTGTTATGCCTCATGAAGCATAGACAGCTGACAAGGACTCCCCACCCAAACCTGTCTAGGGCTCTTTTCTAGATGTCCTCAAGTGCTATTTACTCTCATGATGTCTGTCTTCAATTCCCAACGCAATGTGTTCTTTGGTTTTTCTCTTTTCACTTTAGGGCTTGCGTCCTGATGCGGTTGAACGAGTTCCGCAATGTGAACCCTACCCAAATCCAGTGTGTTTCTGACTTCCTCTTCAGCTGAAAGTTGGTTTGTTCTCTCCCACAGTAGGTTGTTGCTGATAGTGTCTGTCCAATGGACCTGGAGTATTTGCATAGACAACTGTCTATAAATATCCACACCTTCTCGATTATGGCTGTAGTAGTTCCCAGCTCCATAAGATAGAGATCTTTGCAGTTACCTCTATGTCTCACTTCGGTGTTTCAGCTGGTATGTTGTCTAATCTTGATGTCTTTCCAATCCTGGTTTGCCTGATTGTCATGCGGATTTCTTCTATTGTTGGTAGAGTGAGAGCTGTACGAAGGTCTTTGCGTGATGCTTCAATCTTGTTGGGTTCAGTGAGGCTCGCCTATTCATCTTGGAAACCACCAGGTGATGACCTGAAGCAATGTCAGCTCCTCTCTTGGTTCTCAAGTATTCCATTGGCCTTCTGAACATCTCAGTGATGCAAATATGATCCTTCTGATTATGTGTAGTGTAATTCGGTGAGATCTATGTAGTTTGTGCATGTGCTTACGGGCGAATATTGTGCAGCCAATAACCATTCTGTTGGATGCACATAAATTTGCGAATCCCTCACCATTCTCGTTCCCTTCTTCTAGTCAGTCCACGTCGTCCCATGACATCTTCATACCCGGTGTTGTCCACCCTGACTTTGGCGTTCAGATCTCTCATCAGGATGATCAGGTCCCTTCTTGGGTATTTCTCCACGACCGACTGAAGCCTCTCGTAAAACTGATCTTTATCTTCTTCACTACTATCATTGGTAGACGCATGACACTGGATAACATTCATTGTGATTATCTCCTTCTTTGCTTTGAAGGGTGCTTTGATGAATCAGAATCCATGAAATTCCCATCCTATAAGATCTTCACGTGCTTCTTTGGACAGCATTATTGCAACTTTCTGCGTGTGCGGAGCATTTTCTTCTTCGTGGGCAGAGTAGAGCAGTATCTCTCTCGAAGCTAATGTTTTCTGTCCAGCGTGTATCCAATGGGTTTCACTGATTTAGAGCACCGCTAGGTTATATCTTCTCATTTTCGCAGCTATTTGACAACTCGTATACCATTTCCTAAGTATGGATATGAATTTTTCATTTACATATAACACGAGTTGATTTATACACATACTTCTACCTGTACTATACATCGGTTACCGAAATATCTCTATGCACGGTACATCTACTTGATTTAATAGTAGACAACTGCAAGACGATTATCAAATAAATAATTCAAACTTCTCAAGTTCCAATCTTACACAAGCTTATTTATTTTCCTAATATTCCAAAATAGTAAATCAAAGCCCAAAGCTATTGATTCACGTTTTTCAAATATTGATTCTTCTGTATGCAAAACAGTATACGATTTTACGCTGATTTTATAACGAAATAAACACAAATCTTCACTCAGATTAATCATACCACCAGTTCACCAGGAATAGGAATGAAAAATGATGTTAGGAAATTTTTTTAATAAGAAATAATAAGTGTCAACCAGAATAGTTAATCTCTCTCATAGTTTTCTTTTTGGTTAGAAGAAAGCTTACAAGTAGATATCCCATTTTGAAATAAATTTTTGAGATGAATCTGTATCTGATTTACCAGGTGGTAAAAAGTGACTTGTTTGACTCGAAGCCATAGAATTCTGAAATTGGAATGGCAAACAAAAGAGTTGTATGTGATAATTTTAAGCAAATGTGGCTTGAAGATAAATAACAGCAGTTGAGATGATTTAGCTGGTATAACAAAAATAAGCAGCACTGAGGTTAGTAGGAGCTATTTGTAATTGACTGTCTAGACTGTAAGGATGATGTAATGACTTAAAATTGCTAGATGTCTACATTGCATTTGTTTAATAAATATTATTACGTACAATGTCCCAGCAAGAATTAGTGCTCAAAAGAAATTTTACTCCATTTGAGGTATTTAATTATGGTGTAAACTAGTAGTATAGTGGGCGAAATTGATTTTCTCTAGGTGGATGATTCTTTACTTGCTGGTGGTCATTTTGGTGAACTTGAATGGATTAATGAGTGGACTTATGAACCAAGTGTGCAAAACAACGTATCACGTGAAATACAGAACAGCCTTTTTTAGAAGTAATTCACTATCCAGGACATTGGATATGAGACTGATATGTGGTAATGAAATTAAAGCATGATTGGTCTTTGAGCATAGACAGACAGATACAGAATATGTGATTTCTTTTCCTCTCATTGATTTTTACTCCGGACTCACTGAGTGTGACTGGCTTTTTATTTTGGATCGTGAATCGTGGATCTGATATAATGTGATCAGTCTTATTATTGTATTAATGTATTGTTGTTATATGCTTGAGAGGGAGAAATATATTTTAAACCATTCGGCTAACGGCACAACTCGGTTGCCTAAACCGATGTAGGTAAAAGGGGGTCGGACCTGGGGTTTAGAGGCTAAAAGTTAAACACCTTAACCATTAAGCCGCCGCAAAACAGTCTACTTATATTCTATATCAATCCACTTTGTGACGATAAATCTAGGTCAATAATACAATTATCCAAGTGTGAGTTGTAACTATATGATACACAAAATTCATAGCGCAAACCTTTTAATTTTAAGACCAGACGTAGGATGTTAAAAAAAGTGTATTTTGGATGTCGAAATCATGCGACATTGTAAGAAGTATATAAAAACATTTTTTTACTTTCTAAACAAATAATTGGCTGATCTGAATAATAGGTACTTGTAGATCTGATTGAGTTTATGCTTTCCGATGTTTAGTAAGTGCACATAGATGACAACTGCGTATACGACAATTCAGGAGTGAAAACTAGATTACTGAGACTGATTACAGATATACGGAAGAGGACTTTCAGGTTATCAACCATGAGAATCTTACATTTAACGTTGAGTTAGAATACGTGCATAGAGCTAGAGAATATAATAACTAACTAAAAACAAACTCATGAACACTTCATTGTTTTCACTAATCGACTGACTAATATCGAGTAACAGTGTAAACCACCTATATATCGATACGACTGGTTAACTGAATGTCTTAACGCTCTTTATTTTTTTTAACAAGAAACTGAATATTATTGAGATTCAAGCTGGGAAGTAGTAAAATCAAACCTAGATGTCAGAATTTTTTGTTCAAACAATAAACAGTGATATGTTGATTATTTCGACTTTTACTTCTTAGATAGATTAGTTGAATCATTTCGAACAATTAGAGTAGCATAGACCATTCTCCGCACATTGAATACAAAATATTTTCGGATGTTAGTTTTAAAATCACTTGATAGACTTTTTGCAAGGGTCCCCTTTAGAAATTCATTTTACCGAACAATCGAACCTCTTTGTTGACTGTAGATTTCATTCAGATTAGTTGGATTCTATAAAGTACACTATTAAATGTCTTTTATAAAAAACTGGAATAAGAATGAAAATCTAGGCACCGTTCGATACCTTAAGGGACTACTTATGAGGAAAATAAATTTATTCACAACATTAAACTTGTAATAATAATGATAACCATCAGTATTATGTCAAGGCAAAATGCAGCATGAAATTCGATCGAAATTGCATACATTACGACTAACACTGAAAAGAGATGTGTTGTAACTAAAGATATTCATAAGAATATTTACCGGTATTAAGATATCTTTTTGGTTACTGGTGTTCACCTTTGTTTGAGAACCAGAGGGTTTCGAATATGGATATAAGCGGTAGGAGATTTCCTGAGACTCTACTAACAGACACTTGTTAGAATCAGCAGTATCAATGTTTTGAACCGAGGTTATGTCATCTTTGGACATGGAATTTTTCGTTGGCATAGTTTTTCCGGGCAAATCCATATTTGAACTCCATTGCAATGCTCTTGGATGATTTAGTATCCCATATTTATACAAATTCATTTGACGAAGAACACCTTCTCTATTTAATTTCTGTACAACTTTACGACATTCTTGAGCAACTCCTTCTGCGAAAACCTTGGATTCAAATAAATTATTGATGAAGCAAATTTAATGTATTTTTAAGGACGAAAATCCATTGAAGAGCTAATGAGAATAAGAACTTCTTAGATAAGTCTCTTCCAGTTCTCGTAAGCAGCCACGGATAATTAATTACAGGTTATTAAAATTTGATTAGTCCCCAATGGCTTTCAGTAGTCCACCAACAGGGATGACTCAGCAGTGAAAAACAAATTGTAAGTATGTACTGTTTCAAGTCAGCAACTTCGGTAGAAACTTCAAATGAGAATAACGGACATTCATAGTTGTAGAATAAACAGTAGATATCTTTTAACGGACGCTTTCCGCCGTTGTAAATTTAGACGACTCTAAAAAGCCTTATATATATATATATATATATATATATATATATATATATATATATATATATATATATATATATAGAGAGAGAGAGAGAGAGAGAGAGAGTCGAACTAATTTGAAGTTGAACACTAATGAATTGGTTGCTTATGTTGAGGACGTTAGATCCCCAGAACTCACTTTAAAAAAGACCTAATTTTGTAATTTTAGAAAATTTGAATTTCTTTGTTTTCGCGCCAAAATCGCTCTATTCACCTTCATTTCGTATTTCCTACTTGGGAGAATCTTAAATGCTATTGGTCTGTCGTGTCTTTTAGTATGCTATTCTGTAACTTCCCCTAAGGACGGTTTTGTGCTGTATATATACGTTTTGATTTGTGTTTGTTGTTATCGCTCGTTTCTGGCTGTTTGCGGAATATACTTCCCCATTCCAAGCTTGGACTTCTTCCTCTAGTTAGCGGGGCTGGAACGCATCGAAAGCTAGCTTATTGGTTTTCGGTCACCGAGTCTTTGTTCCGTTCGCAGTCTAAGTGAACTCGTAACCACTTCAAACCTAGCAGTTTAATTGACCAATGGAATGCAGTCTGCTAGGTGAATAAGCTGTCTTTTAAAACCCATGTGCGTAAAAGTGAGAAGGCATGTCCAGTCGAAAAGTCAGAACTATCTGTGAGATATTCAAATTCAAGAAAGAAAGAGAACAGTAATAGAATTACTAAAATAGATAATCAATTCAGTAGTATCATCTCTAGGACGAAACCACTAACATTTAACATGAACCAACAAGTTCACGTTAGTTATTTCCAGTATTCAGTTTAGTAGTGGCATCATTGAGACTAATTACATGTTGTAGAAACTGACTGTATGTGGTAGAAGCAGATGATCTGGATTGTGTGCAGCATGTGAACCGTATATTATGCCCTTTAGAAACAACACATAAAACATCGCAAACTGACTTTTCAAGATATTCGGAGTTACTTTGACATGACGAATTCAGAAGTATAGAAACCGGAGAGCCTTTCAACAAGAAAATCGAGACAACAAGGGAAAATTGAGCTTTTTCAAATTGACTTAACAATAATGTTATCAAACGTCTTTTATTATTTCTGGGACTCAATGAGATGTAAATTACAAGCGTTAAACCTCGAAGTGGGACGTTGACTAGCGTATGGAAAGGTTATAAAGGCGTTCAAGGTGATTAAAACAAGATATAGAAGCAATCAATTAATTAACAGAGTATTCGTTTGAACGACGTACGGATGTGAGAGCCTCCTCCGTATTTGTGGTTAATGATGGAATGTGTTAGATTCTCTAACTCAGAGTGGGTAAATAAATTTGTTCTTCTTGAGCACAAGCACTAAGAATCATATTATCCCATAAGTCAATTCTCCACTTGATCTGCTCACCTATTCCTGTCAATCTTTCAAAACCTATTTTTTCTTGTTATTGTTTCTTGCTACGCTATTCGAAGAATATTTGTATAAATTCATATACATTTGTACCATATCATGCACATTAGCATGCAAGGCTAGTGAAATCCGAAAATTATTGGAAATGATAATTAATGACCCTAATGAAAAAGTGCTTGCAAGCAGATATTAAGCAAACATTTGAATTTGCATAAGGAGTCACGGTAATTCCCGTAAAATAAAGAACTTGAGAAGCTCCAGAATAAATCATAATTGCGACAAATTATGTAACCTTCGTGAGAGAAATGGATGTAAGTTCATTTGATAGGAAATAAAATCTGACCTTTAAAATTGACTGCTTGCAAGAGCAAACTTTGCAAACCCAGGTTTTCGACTTTATACGATGATGAACTTGAAACGTGCAACACTCCGAGCAGCACATAACCCAGAAGGGAACGGGCATGACACAAACTTCCCTCTAATAGTCCTGAAGCATATAATAAACAACATAAATTAGTTGAAAAAGGTTTGTTAACTAATGACTTGAAAAGTGAAACTTCTGTTACGTTGCAGTTACATAAAGTGGATATTTGAGTGTCTAAAAAAGTAAACTTATTTACTAGGTCTTCGGGTGCGCTCCACACTAAGTACAAGGGCTAATTATATCGCCTGACTGCCCAAACTGAAGTAGGTAGGGCTGGATTTAAACTTGGGACTAAGCAACTGAAAGTTTACACACCGAAAAGTGATGTGTATTGTAAGTAAGTCAATAGGAAGTATAAGGATGTCATATGGGTTTCAGATTACGATATATTAGTTGGTTATCTATTCGTACATATTTACGGTTCATATTATATTTCTTGTATCAGTTTTGTAAATAATTTAAAAAACGTTGTTGAATGATTCAACCTATTTCCGACTGAGCTAACGTGATAGTCAAGTCATTTAGGACATACAAGATATTATAAGCAATTCTGATTTCGTGAATGTGTCATTAGGTAAGCAAAGATCTAGATACTTTTAATGTATTTATTTATTTAGATACATAAAGATTGGTACAAGGAGGCACCAAATATATATGCGCCACACTTCGTTATTCGATTTGTATGAAAGCTGGAATGTTGTCCGGCGCCCAAACTGAAGCAGGCGGTTTCCTTAGGGAGCCGCACCGAACCTTGATCTAGAAGTCTAATCCACAAAGCAGTGGAACAACGTCAAAAGATGAAGACCCATGGCAGCCAGTAACCAACAATGGGTTCATACTCCAATTGTTCCCTCAGAATCCTGGAACCCATGTGCACCATTGGTTTGGAATCAGGGATTTCCAACTCTCCTAGGTGGATCCTCTATATCCGTCAACCCGGTTATAGTACTGGATATTGGCTTTTCGTTCTATCAATTTCGTAAACGTCCCGCTTATAAGCACTGGGTTTCTTCTGGTTCCTTACAACTCATTGAAGCCCGTCGGTCTACTCCGGGTGACCGTGAGTTTGACCATAAACGAAGGATGTTACGTAAGGAAATTGGGCAAAGCTTGCGTAAGGACCGAGAAGCCTGGTGGTCGAAGCGTGCTAATGAGCTGGAAGCAGCAGCTGCATCTGGTAACTACCGGAAGCTCTTCCAGCTCATCCGAGCCACTGGCAGCAAGAAGTCTGGTGTGAGTGAAACAATCTGCGAGGATGATGGGATGCCAATCACTAACATCCATCGACGTCTTGGACGATGGGCAGAATTTTTCGAAGGGCAGTTCAACTGGCCTGCTGCTCCGGCAACATCGGTCAGACTGTCCTGCCCTCCATGGCCGGTGACGACTGATCCACCAAATGAAGAGGAAGTCCGCAAGGAACTCCAACTCTTGAAGCGTTACAAATCACCTGGCCCAGATGACTTACCTCCGGCTCTTTTTAAAGATGGTGGTGACTTTTTGACTAAGGAATTGACGACGTTGTTTACAAAGGTTTGGGAACTAGAGAGTGTACCAACGTCATGGAATGAGTCGATAGTTGTCCCTATCTTTAAAAAGGGTTCACGTCGTTCCTGTAACAACTATCGGGGGATAAGTCTACTTCCGATTGCGTCCAAGCTATTGGCTTCCGTCATACTTCGTAGGTTGTTCAAAACCCGAGAAAGATTGACTCGCGAGGAGCAGGCTGGGTTTCGTTCTGGTCGAGGATGTATTGATCATATCTTCACCCTCCGCCAAATGTTAGAACACCGCCATACTTATCAAAGGCCAACAATCGTAGTGTTTCTTGACATCAGGGCTGCCTTCGATTCGTTGGACAGGACTGTTCTCTGGGATTGTCTATTGAAGAAGGGTGTGCCTGAGAAGTTTATTAACATCCTAAAAGCCCTATATAAAAACACCTCAGGCAGAGTGAGGGCATACAACCACCTCTCTCCATTGTTCCATTCGAGCAGTGGGGTTAGGCAGGGTTGCCCAATCTCACCATTCCTCTTCAACTTTGCCATCGATGACATTCTGGAAACAGCTCTGATGAATGTAAGTAATGGTGGTGTGGATCTGTTGCCTGGAGAAAGACTTCTCGACCTTGAGTATGCGGACGATATTGTCTTACTGTGCGATAATGCCCAAGGCATGCAATCCGCACTTAATCAGTTGGCAATCAGTGTCCGTAGGTATGGTATGTGCTTTGCACCTTCGAAGTGCAAAGTACTTCTACAAGACTGGCAGGATTCTAATCCTGTACTCACCCTGGATGGTGAGCAGATAGACGTAGTCGAGAAGTTCGTGTATCTGGGTAGCTGCATAAGTGCTGGTGGGGGTGTGAGTGATGAGATCAATGCACGTATAGTGAAAGCCAGAGCGGCTTATGCCAATCTGGGCCACCTTTGGCGCCTTCGTGATGTTAGTCTGGCTGTAAAAGGTCGGATCTACAACGCGTCGGTGAGAGCAGTTTTGCTCTATGCTTGTGAAACCTGGCCTCTCCGAGTTGAGGACGTTAGACGACTCTCTGTGTTCGATCATCGCTGTCTCCGAAGGATTGCTGACATTCAGTGGCAACACCATGTCAGTAATGCAGAGGTTCGGCATCGTGTGTTCGGGCACAGAGATGATAATTCAATTGGTGTCACCATCTTGAAACACCGACTTCGGTGGCTTGGACATGTTCTACGAATGTCGTCCCAGAGAATTCCACGTCGTGCATTATTTGCCGACTCTGGGACTGGTTGGAAGAAGCGGAGAGGTGGTCAGTGCATGACATGGTGTCGTGGTATGAAAGAAAGCTGCAAAGGACTGGCTTGTGTTGGTCCTTCACGACTCCCTGGTTGGGGTCTGAGAGATGGTGCTACACAGTGGCTAGAGACGTTATCAGATATGGCTCAGAATAGAAGCCAGTGGCGATCCTGCTGTAACCTTCTTTTACTTTCTTCATAAAAAGTGGTTGTGTCTCCCTTACCTGAAAGATTTCTTCTGATTGTACCTTTCGTTCCCTCGTTACTACCACACTACCTTACACCAATCTCTTCGTTATTGTTCTCTTTTTCTTTTGCGCTCCTTAGTTTTTTTTCTATTTCTCTTCGAATTCTCATTGTTTTGTGTGGCGCATATATATTGGCGCTCTCTTGTACCAATATTCATGTGTTCAAATAAATAAATAAATAATTTCGTAAATAACACTCACTCCGTGAGGCAGTGAGTAGAAATCCCATGACAGAGGCTATATACGCGTGGCCATATGAGAGCATTTCGAGAGGAAGAGAGGACTCTCCTAATCCTTGCCCGTACCAGGGCATTTGGGGGCGTTTTGGTATAACAGATATTTAAGGGTTGTTTTAAAGTTAATTAATGGTAAAGATATTAAAGCGAAAAAAGTGGTCCTGTCACTTGTGAACTACTACGGAAGTGTCCCTAGCCAAGGAAATGTTGTCTAATCAACCTGGAAACCTCAGATATCTAGTTCCTTTCTTTCCAATAATAAAAAGGCGCCTCATAGTGGCACTTCCCCAGATTTTTACAGTTGCTATCTCTCCAAACCCGCCTATAATATTCTGAAATTGAATTCGGCAAATTATTCCATTGGTTTAAACATATACCATCCTACGAAAAATATGCCAAAACAAGCAAGAATACAAAGATTTTAAAAACTGTATACTGTTTACACCAGTTATACCTTTGAATGTAAGGACAGAAGTAGCTAAAGCAACGGAGGAGATCCTACAGGCCTGTCGTGGATGTTCTGTTTATTAACCTGCTATTCCCAAGGTGTTTGTGACTAGATTTCGGCTATTTTAGGTTAAACGTAAACACGGACAACTCAACAATCAGGCTAGTTTGTCGGATATAAGATATCACGTTAATTGTTAACAAGCTTTTTACCTTTTACAACGAATAGAAAACCTCTAATAATCTCCATAATGGTATCGCTTTTATCTCTCTGAAGATGATCGATTGACGGGATATTCTCAAAAATCCCAAAAATCAACCGAATCGAGTAGAAGTGTAATTTTGAGACGAGGTGATCGAAACTGAGAACGTGACTATTACGTTTTAGCGCACAACTTAGAAGTCACGTATATAGGATAACAAAAATACTTTATTACATTGTTCTAAAGATTAAAAATGATAAAGGGAAACTATTGTTGTTCATATAGAATAAAAGTAGTAGTTAGATATGTTAAATGCCCAATTCTGTTCCGGTAGATTGCACGTTACAGATCAATCGACTTACAATAAATCCTAACAATAAACCTTTAGTCCTGAAACAAACCTTAATCAGGTTGCATTATAATTTATGGACAATTAATACTGGATTTTTTGCGCAAAATTCACTCATTCATGATGCTACAGAAAAGTTATGCACTATAAATAGTGTCAGTGATGGAAATTCCAAGCGCGAATACATAACCCTGAAAAGGAACAATGTGAGGAACCTTGAATATCTATTTGGGTCTTTTTAGGGCTCCAAGAAGAGCAATCTATGTATAGAAAATTACTGGAGTCGTCTAGCACAACAACTATCAGTACGTCCATAGACACAACAAATGTCCCTTGATCACTTTCGCCACTCCCAGCGATCGTTTCGACTATGTTCATCTTGATTTAGTAGGACCCTTACCTCTTAACGTGTACAGACCGTTTAACTTGATGGCCAGAAGCATTACCCATCAGGGGAATTACTTCTGAAACAGTGGCACGCGTCTTCGTCGAACGATGTACAGTAAACATCGGCTGCCCTTCAACTATCACCACAAACCGTGGGGGCCAGTTCGAATATAGACTATTCCGCTGTCTGACTACACGATTAGGAATCAAACGATTTCAAACAACCGCCTACCACCCCACAAGCTAACAGATTGGTAGGACGATTTCGCCAACAGCTGAAAGCATCACTCTCAGTTGCAAACGTTCCACAGTGAACCGACGCTCTTCCACTCGTTCTACTCAGTATCCGCAATGTAGTGTAAGCTGACGCTGGATACACTGAAGCTCAAGTCGTTTATGAAACAACACTCCTACTTCAAGAATTTGTGGATCCTTCATTTTCGTCAACGAATATGGATGTAAACTCTTACGCCAGCAGGCTTACAAACGCGATGAGTTCAGTTAAACCTGTTTCCACGTGACCAGTTAACTGATGTTTTCTTTTAACCTGCGTTACGACAAAATACACATATTTTCGTACGTCGCGACCCATTACAACGACTTTGAAATGGCATACGAAGGACCCTTCAAAGTCTTTCATCAGAAACCTAAACACTACATCATCGATAAGAACGGAACTATCGATAACATCAGCATCAATCGTCTCAAAGCCGTGTGTTTGGAAGGAAACCCTAGTCGTTTTGATCTTCCTTCAGTATAATCGAAAGACAAGAGTCTCACAATTACGATACATTACCCGACAATCAGCAACCTCGACGACACTTCGGTGGTACCTGACAACCGATTAAAAGCAGCGTGCTCTGGAAGAGTAAGGTTTTTAGAACACCTAAGCGACTACTATACGTAAGACACTACATATTATTTTGTTTCGTCTCGATTTATTTTGTATCACTGTCAAAAAACGAAAACAAGCTATTTTTAATATGCTTATATATACTGTTATTATTCCAAGAAGACAGTTTTTGTTGCTAATATGCGCATATTTTTCAAGAATAAAACCGAAATATTATTCTACGAAGATCGTTTTTGCGCACTTGTATGTTTACGAAACGCATGTATATAAGTTTTCTTCTTTTTTGTCGCCCATTTTGTGTCCTTGTGCACGTACGAGTGTAGTTCGACGTGCACTCACATATCCTTTTTTTCAGGACGGTTAGATGTAAAACCCAAAAAACCTTACGATGATTCGAAATTTTTATTTTGCCTTTTTATCGATGTATTATACCACATGGTCCCTTTGTTGTTCACGACTGATTGACATGGTCGATTATATTAAGGGAAGACAACTAGATGCCGCTGAACATAGTAAGCTGCCAGAAGTGTTTACCAATGGAAAGCCCGTTGGGCTTAAACATCTGACCGGCCATGTCTTACGGACACTACTATCCCATCAGAGGGGGGAGTGAGTTGTACCGGCAAATAAATCCCCAGAATAAATAGTTCCGTAAGTCTTCGACATTGACGCTGACTCCATTAGTTTTACTGGAAATAAGAGTAAGTGAAGCGGCCTTAATAATTCTTACGATTCAAGATGTTGCAGACTAAATACAGCCCTAAATAAACTAAAGATGCCATAGATATTCGGTTTGACAACGCTGTTACACTTGCCTCTTTTATAATCGAAATAAGCCAACCCAGTCATATCAGAGGTCAAAAATAAAGGGGTTTGAAGATAGATTTGTGAATGTGCCGACATGTCAAGAAGCGTTTTGTTTACGCTGGTTAACAGTTGCAATCGATGCACAGCACAGTGTATCCAAGCGGGTACGTGATTAACCGAAATCTGATGTGAATGCGTGACCGAGCGCATGTAGCCAGAGTGTGTCCAGTAAAACTGAGGAAGTCAGCATCAATATCGAAGACTTACAGAACTATTTATTTTGGCCACTTATGTACCTCTTGATTCATGAGATAATAAATCATTTATCTACATTCGCCGTTCTCTGATTGGGTAAAACGCGTGATAGCCCTGGCTAGGTAGAAAAGTAGGCAAATACGCGGATATTTAGGCGAAAAGTCGGTTATTTATCGACAAAGCGGGTAAAAAAAAAGGGAAATCCGCATTATTTCCCCCGGACAGGCGAAAAAGGCGACATTCTGGCGCGTTTTCTCCTTTATTTCCCTTTTCGATACCAAAGCATTTACCCCTTTATTTCCCCTTAGTTCGCCTTTAATTTTCCTTTTTGGTTGTTTGGGTGGTCGCTCAGCAGCACACATCGGACTTAAAAGAGTGACTGCAGGGTATACCCTGCAATACCTATAGGTATTAGATCATTAATGAACCATTGAAAGTATCAAAATATGCTTGCCTTTAAAATATGAAACTTTGATTTACAGGATCTGGTTAGAAAATACTATATATCACACCAATCAATCAAAAGGACCGCGAAAAACGCTGATTCTGAGACAACCCTCAGTAGCGCAGGTATTGTATTTTCGCTCATTTACATAATTAAAATAACCCATAGTGTCATTGAACAGATATGAAGAAAAACGACAAACAACAAAGGTGATAATCATAAACTAAATGATAATCAAAAACTTGTATAAGGTAGTGATAAATGATTAGAGTTTAAAGTGCAAAATAGTAATTTAAAAATATCGACAATAATTAAATAAAAGTGCAGAAAAAACACTTCATTGTGTATATATAAACTCACTTGCTGGTGTGGGGCATGCTACATAGGCCGCACGAAGCGATCATTTTCCAACGCATCTCGGAACATTATCCGGCCTGGCTCTTAAAAGGGGAACGAAAAACAATCACGTGTTCGATGCAGGAGCACTAAATCAACTGTGAACACATCGCTCCAAAGGAATCTTCATTTAAGGTAGTCTACAGGGTCATAGTAACTGGATCGAAGGAGGTTCGAACCAATATTTAATGCACCGCAGAGGCATTGGCAATTCACAAACTCAAGCCTGTACTTTGCGTGCAGAAACGATTTGTCCAACTTCTCATCCTTCCTTGGTCCTAATTCCCTTAATGGGTATGTTTCCGTGTTTTTTTGTTTTTTTGGTAATTGTTGTTGTGGTTGTTTCTGCACTTTTATTTAATTATTATCGATATTTTTAAATTACTATTTTGCACTTTAAACTCTAATTATTTATTATTACCTTATAAAAGTTTTTTGATTATCACTCAGTTTATGATTATGACCTTTGTTGTTTGTCGTTTTTCTTCATATCTGTGAATTGGACTATTATCTGACCCATAAATTCTGTTCTTCCTTACCCCTTGATTAGTACTTTAACCTCATTTGTTATTTATTCTCGAATCCATTTTTTGATACAATCCTTTCTATCCCTCTGTAGACATATATTTTCCATATAAATATATACGAATGTACAGCTTAAGTAAATGCTTTCGTCGAAAAGTAAATTGTCTTCGCTGATTTCTCTTTCGCTCATTTATACTTTGAAAGCCCTCAGGGTAATTTCGTCAAACATATGACGTCAGTCATTTAGTCTCTCTTAGTGAGGATAGGCGGTCGAGAAACCTATATCGATACTCATAATTTGTAGAACCGTGAATATTAAGTCTTTCTTTGAATGCATCAACATAAGGAGCTGATACTAAGTGTTCTGGAGGAGAATTTCATTAATTCATCACTTGGCGCCGGAAATGGAACCCCAGATGTGTACAGCTTGGTCTCGAGTCCTGATATCTCTTAGAATTCCCTCTCAGATTATCAGTCTCACATGAAAACAAAATATAGGACATCTGAAGAAAACCAAAGTGGTTTCTTTTCAACACTCGTACTAATAAGCTGTTTCTGAATACTACTAATAATGATAATAGCACTAAAATGATTGCTCGGTATGCGGCAAGTCAATATAAACTCACATCGTAGCCTGCGATATGTTTGGGTACCCCCGTATGTTTTCAACAGTTAGGTCAGTAAGACCTTACACCACTTCGGTCTCTTACCGTTGAACTCGCTCAAGCAAATCCAATTCATATTCGTACAAAAGTCCACCTTTTTGAATCCCATGTTCTAAATGCAGCATCGGAAATATCGAATGATGAAACAGCCCATAGGACCGCACAAAGTCTTTGACAGAAGAAGTCTCATAGTTACTCGTAATCCTAAAGTCGTTGCTCATTAGGAGTCCCAGATCCTAATGAACCACTGCTTTGAGTAATGTCATTCTACTTGTCGTATAGTCATGAAAATCTTCGCAGTTATTCGTCTACATCACCAAATCCTTGCAGGAAGAATCGTCGTATCTTAACCTACTCATCCACTAACCCAGTAAACTTCGGTTATCCTATAGTATTACGCTATTAGATGTACCAAACACATTTGAGGAAGTGACTAGAATTGATGATATGATAATATCATTTCGAAACGATAGGTGTTTGATTAACCTTAATCCAATGTACTTCATTATTTGAACGTCAGGGTCTACTGTCCATCACATTTTTATATCGGTCAATTTTGCTAACTTAACTCCTAAATTTACTGTATTAGATCGCCAACGTTAGTTATGTAAGTCGATGATTGAGAGGGTAACTTGAATCGGACAAGCGTGTAGTAAACAACCAGCTTATGTTGAAACCACACCTCAACGTCAAGGCCTGATATGGATCAACTTTTTGCCTCCTCTAGTTACTATGTCTACTTTGATGGTCATACAATAAAAACAACTTCATTACAGACATATATCAGTAAAAGTGATCGCAGGAAAAAGAACACGACCACTGGCGCATGGGCTAGTCCATGACGTGCAGTCGATAAATGAGCGTTGTTTGTGCTTGATCTTGACAGCGATCGGCAAACTGCCGAAATTCAGTGCCTTGAACGTTCAGTAATTTATCTAAGAAACAATGAAATTTGATCAGCCACTCGTCGTTGACATATGGAAAACAGATAAAATTTAGTTGATGGTGGGACTCTGTATAGATCAGTATCTTTGGTACAACATATCTCTTTTCAGTGTTAGTCGTAATGTATGCAATTTCGATCGAATTTCATGCTGCATTTTGCCTTGACATAATACTGATGGTTATCATTATTATTACAAGTTTAATGTTGTGAATAAATTTATTTTCCTCATAAGTAGTCCCTTAAGGTATCGAACGGTGCCTAGATTTTCATTCTTATTCCAGTTTTTTATAAAAGACATTTAATAGTGTACTTTATAGAATCCAACTAATCTGAATGAAATCTACAGTCAACAAAGAGGTTCGATTGTTCGGTAAAATGAATTTCTAAAGGGGACCCTTGCAAAAAGTCTATCAAGTGATTTTAAAACTAACATCCGAAAATATTTTGTATTCAATGTGCGGAGAATGGTCTATGCTACTCTAATTGTTCGAAATGATTCAACTAATCTATCTAAGAAGTAAAAGTCGAAATAATCAACATATCACTGTTTATTGTTTGAACAAAAAATTCTGACATCTAGGTTTGATTTTACTACTTCCCAGCTTGAATCTCAATAATATTCAGTTTCTTGTTAAAAAAAATAAAGAGCGTTAAGACATTCAGTTAACCAGTCGTATCGATATATAGGTGGTTTACACTGTTACTCGATATTAGTCAGTCGATTAGTGAAAACAATGAAGTGTTCATGAGTTTGTTTTTAGTTAGTTATTATATTCTCTAGCTCTATGCACGTATTCTAACTCAACGTTAAATGTAAGATTCTCATGGTTGATAACCTGAAAGTCCTCTTCCGTATATCTGTAATCAGTCTCAGTAATCTAGTTTTCACTCCTGAATTGTCGTATACGCAGTTGTCATCTATGTGCACTTACTAAACATCGGAAAGCATAAACTCAATCAGATCTACAAGTACCTATTATTCAGATCAGCCAATTATTTGTTTAGAAAGTAAAAAAATGTTTTTATATACTTCTTACAATGTCGCATGATTTCGACATCCAAAATACACTTTTTTTAACATCCTACGTCTGGTCTTAAAATTAAAAGGTTTGCGCTATGAATTTTGTGTATCATATAGTTACAACTCACACTTGGATAATTGTATTATTGACCTAGATTTATCGTCACAAAGTGGATTGATATAGAATATAAGTAGACTGTTTTGCGGCGGCTTAATGGTTAAGGTGTTTAACTTTTAGCCTCTAAACCCCAGGTCCGACCCCCTTTTACCTACATCGGTTTAGGCAACCGAGTTGTGCCGTTAGCCGAATGGTTTAAAATATATTTCTCCCTCTCAAGCATATAACAACAATACATTAATACAATAATAAGACTGATCACATTATATCAGATCCACGATTCACGATCCAAAATAAAAAGCCAGTCACACTCAGTGAGTCCGGAGTAAAAATCAATGAGAGGAAAAGAAATCACATATTCTGTATCTGTCTGTCTATGCTCAAAGACCAATCATGCTTTAATTTCATTACCACATATCAGTCTCATATCCAATGTCCTGGATAGTGAATTACTTCTAAAAAAGGCTGTTCTGTATTTCACGTGATACGTTGTTTTGCACACTTGGTTCATAAGTCCACTCATTAATCCATTCAAGTTCACCAAAATGACCACCAGCAAGTAAAGAATCATCCACCTAGAGAAAATCAATTTCGCCCACTATACTACTAGTTTACACCATAATTAAATACCTCAAATGGAGTAAAATTTCTTTTGAGCACTAATTCTTGCTGGGACATTGTACGTAATAATATTTATTAAACAAATGCAATGTAGACATCTAGCAATTTTAAGTCATTACATCATCCTTACAGTCTAGACAGTCAATTACAAATAGCTCCTACTAACCTCAGTGCTGCTTATTTTTGTTATACCAGCTAAATCATCTCAACTGCTGTTATTTATCTTCAAGCCACATTTGCTTAAAATTATCACATACAACTCTTTTGTTTGCCATTCCAATTTCAGAATTCTATGGCTTCGAGTCAAACAAGTCACTTTTTACCACCTGGTAAATCAGATACAGATTCATCTCAAAAATTTATTTCAAAATGGGATATCTACTTGTAAGCTTTCTTCTAACCAAAAAGAAAACTATGAGAGAGATTAACTATTCTGGTTGACACTTATTATTTCTTATTAAAAAAATTTCCTAACATCATTTTTCATTCCTATTCCTGGTGAACTGGTGGTATGATTAATCTGAGTGAAGATTTGTGTTTATTTCGTTATAAAATCAGCGTAAAATCGTATACTGTTTTGCATACAGAAGAATCAATATTTGAAAAACGTGAATCAATAGCTTTGGGCTTTGATTTACTATTTTGGAATATTAGGAAAATAAATAAGCTTGTGTAAGATTGGAACTTGAGAAGTTTGAATTATTTATTTGATAATCGTCTTGCAGTTGTCTACTATTAAATCAAGTAGATGTACCGTGCATAGAGATATTTCGGTAACCGATGTATAGTACAGGTAGAAGTATGTGTATAAATCAACTCGTGTTATATGTAAATGAAAAATTCATATCCATACTTAGGAAATGGTATACGAGTTGTCAAATAGCTGCGAAAATGAGAAGATATAACCTAGCGGTGCTCTAAATCAGTGAAACCCATTGGATACACGCTGGACAGAAAACATTAGCTTCGAGAGAGATACTGCTCTACTCTGCCCACGAAGAAGAAAATGCTCCGCACACGCAGAAAGTTGCAATAATGCTGTCCAAAGAAGCACGTGAAGATCTTATAGGATGGGAATTTCATGGATTCTGATTCATCAAAGCACCCTTCAAAGCAAAGAAGGAGATAATCACAATGAATGTTATCCAGTGTCGTGCGTCTACCAATGATAGTAGTGAAGAAGATAAAGATCAGTTTTACGAGAGGCTTCAGTCGGTCGTGGAGAAATACCCAAGAAGGGACCTGATCATCCTGATGAGAGATCTGAACGCCAAAGTCAGGGTGGACAACACCGGGTATGAAGATGTCATGGGACGACGTGGACTGACTAGAAGAAGGGAACGAGAATGGTGAGGGATTCGCAAATTTATGTGCATCCAACAGAATGGTTATTGGCTGCACAATATTCGCCCATAAGCACATGCACAAACTACATAGATCTCACCGAATTACACTACACATAATCAGAAGGATCATATTTGCATCACTGAGATGTTCAGAAGGCCAATGGAATACTTGAGAACCAAGAGAGGAGCTGACATTGCTTCAGGTCATCACCTGGTGGTTTCCAAGATGAATAGGCGAGCCTCACTGAACCCAACAAGATTGAAGCATCACGCAAAGACCTTCGTACAGCTCTCACTCTACCAACAATAGAAGAAATCCGCATGACAATCAGGCAAACCAGGATTGGAAAGACATCAAGATTAGACAACATACCAGCTGAAACACCGAAGTGAGACATAGAGGTAACTGCAAAGATGCTCTATCTTATGGAGCTGGGAACTACTACAGCCATAATCGAGAAGGTGTGGATATTTATAGACAGTTGTCTATGCAAATACTCCAGGTCCATTGGACAGACACTGTCAGCAACAACCTACTGTGGGAGAGAACAAACCAACTTTCAGCTGAAGAGGAAGTCAGAAACACACTGGATTTGGGTAGGGTTCACATTGCGGAACTCGTTCAACCGCATCAGGACGCAAGCCCTAAAGTGAAAAGAGAAAAACCAAAGAACACATTGCGTTGGGAATTGAAGACAGACATCATGAGAGTAAATAGCACTTGAGGACATCTAGAAAAGAGCCCTAGACAGGTTTGGGTGGGGAGTCCTTGTCAGCTGTCTATGCTTCATGAGGCATAACAAACGTAAGTTAGTTTGATTAAATAGAGTAAGCATGTTGGATTTCTCCAATCCGCTTCTTTTCCCTTACCATCTGTATGTATGGTATATAAACAAAGTATGTTTGAAATATAATGATTCATATATCCGAGGCTGAAACTTGTGTTCTGGACTCAACTAACTGGGCTAGACAGGGAAGCGAGACCAATCAGAACCCTAGGTCGTTCTACGTGTTTGCGCGTCTTTGGTCCGATCAATAATTCGCTACCCTTAATCAGCATTATTTTTCAGTTATAACAGAAGTATATATGTATATTCAAAAACATTATCTTATTTGACTTGTTCCATTCTGTTATTCACTAACGTGAATTAAATCCATAACTTCACTTTCTCCCAGGGTATGGAACGTCTTATTGTGGTCCCTTAGGGTTCAGTACTAGGACCTCTTCGTTTTTTGATTTGTATAAACGATCTTCCACAACAGGTATCTTCAGACATATTACTTTTTGCTGACGTAACTATGGAAAGAGATACGCAACCAGCAACTTGGGTGGTTTTGTTTTCCGGTTTGGATCGTTTGGTCATGAAGCTTTCATTTATCTTCTGAACTACATTATCAGCACGAACATCTGGCAAGATTGAAGTGTTCGAATTACACCACACATGACTCACTACTTGTCCTCTCGATTATCACAGGCTGTTATTGACCTCTAGCCTGTCATTGTATATCTCTTTATTTTGATTCTATCTCCCTTTAATCTACTTCGTGGTCCTATGTTTCTCCATGATTTTCGTGATAAGTTGGTGAGTTGGATCGACTTCGATGTGTGTTGTTGATCGCTGATTGACTTGAGTGTCAAGCTTCTTAAATTTCTCCGGTGATATTCATGTTCCCTTTATCCAAGGATTCAACATTTTTCCAGTCAAATATGTGTCTACAGTTGTCCGCATATTGTGCTGGCACTTAGAAGATCTGTAGTTTTTCCAGTTCAGCACGGTCGATTTACTGACACGTGTTATGGATAATGTCCTCAATATCTGACTCCAAATAATAATATCCCGTAACTGAGTATTTTAGCTAGGCTTAATCTCCTAGTAGAATTGCGAATTTACTCGAGATTATTAAAAAGCCTGAACACCAGTTATAGAGATAGTTTATTGTTAATGAATAATAATAATCCACAAGCGCACGATGAGCAAGCACACGATGAAACAGAGAGAGTGTGTGTGAGTGAGTTAAAAATCCATATATATTTGAGAGTTAATCGGGTGTGGATAAATTATCGATTATCTGCACATTGCAACCAATAGGAGAATAGCTTAAGAGTTAATGTACAGACATGCATTCGATCATACACACCGAAATTAACATAGTGAATTGAGTCTGAGTTACAATGACTAGACAAATGATACAGTAGCCAAAAGGGCTTGCTACATAAGCTCCCATCCAGAACATTGATGTTTTTATGTACCAAAAAAAAAAAATTCGATTAACATCTATGTTCGACAAAGAGATAAAGAACGGAACTGTTTTTAAAATAAAAGTACAACTCAATATGATGAGTAAGCGTAAAATTGTAATAACAGCTTGTGTGTTGAAACGTTTCATATCATGTATATACAAGTGTAAATTTAACATTAATGAATTGTATAAAGTTAAAATGTAAGCATAATGGTGATCCGTGGGGCCAATAAAAAAAATAGTAATCAATATAAAGTAGGATTTTTATGTGTTATAAGAGTAGTCTCAGGATTTGGTCTAGATAAATATAGTGGTTGCTACATACCTATCTGGCCAATGTACTCTTCTTCCTGATCTTGTTGTAGTTTGTGCTGCTGCTGAATTTTGATTTGAAATGTTGCTTGTTGCAGGTAGTTTGAATGGTGCTTGCTCTGCTGCGGGTTTAGACGGTTTTACAGTTGCCTGTTTTTCAGTGTTCTCTAAAAATGCTGGTTTTACTCTATCGATGCTAACTGTATCATGTTTACCTGCTCTTTCCACTGTAACCGTTTTAGTGTCCTTTCGGATGATTTTAAAAGGGCCGTCGTAAGGAGTCTGTAACGGCTGTCGTACTCTATCATTTCTGACGAATACATGTGAGCATTTGTCTAGTTCGTTGGGTACGAATGATTTCACCTTTTGGGTTCGTGGTTTAACGGACCTAATGGATTCCATCTGCTGTTTTAATTGTTGTACGTAGTTGGTTATATCTGCTGGAATATCTGTTGCACGGTCAAAAAATTCACCAGGCAAACGTAATGTTGTTCCATAAACCAACTCAGCAGCACAACAACCGAGGTCTTGTTTGATGGTTGAGCGAATACCTAATAGTATCAAAGGGAGCTTGATATCCCATTTGTAATCTCCTCGTGCGGCCGTCAAAGAGGCTTTTAACTGTCTATGGAATCTCTCTATCATTCCATTAGCAGACGGATGATAAGCAGTGGTTCTAATTCTCTTTATACCGAAAGTATCTGTAAGTTGCTGAAATAGTTTGCTTTCGAATTGCGTTCCACGGTCGGTCGTAATTGTTGTAGGGACACCGAAGTTTGTAATCCAGTGTTTCACCAGCTTCTTCGCCACTGTTGATGCTGACGTGTCTTTTAACGGAACAGCTATGGGCCATCTCGTAAATCTATCTATACATGTTAGTATATGCGTGTAACCATTAGAAATCGGTAACGGCCCAACAATGTCGATATGAATATGGTCGAACCTAGCGCTAGCGGCGGGAAAAATTCCGGTAGGAGATATGATGTGCCTATGTACTTTTGACTTTTGGCATTGGACGCATTCCCGTGACCATTTTCTTACGTCTTTGTTTATTTTTGGCCATACAAATCTATCTGTGACAAGCTTTACAGTGGCTTTTATACCTGGATGAGATATATTGTGTAATTTCTCAAAAATATTTCGTCTCATACCGAAGGGTACAAAAGGGCGAGTTTTACCTGTTGAGGTATCACAAGCTAAGGTGTCCTTGTTGTTAATGGGGATGTTTTGGAATAATAATTTCGTTTCCTTAGACTGCAAAAGCTTTTGTAGCTCCGTATCGAGCTTTTGATGCTTTGCCATTTCTTGATAGTCTATATCAGGGGTCGAGAAGGTATTGATATTTAATCTCGATAGTGCATCTGCTGCCTCATTTGCATTGCCTTTAATATAGCGTATATCAGCTGCAAATTGTGAAATGAATTCTAGTTGACGAATTTCGCGCGGACTGTATTTATCATGATTGTGCATCAAGGACTTAGTTAGAGGTTTGTGATCAGTATATATCGTGAAAGAATTGCCTTCTAACATATAGCGAAAGTGTTTGATGGCTAAGTAGATAGCTAACAGTTCTCTACCGAATGTGCTATATTTTGTTTGCGTTGCGTTGAGCTTTTTTGAGAAAAATGCAAGGGGTTGCCATTGTTCATTGACACGTTGCTGAAGTACAGCACCTACTGCTACGTTAGAAGCGTCGGTCATTATTGCTAAAGGTGCATCAACCTTTCGTCGTGCGAGTAATGCCTCTGTGCTTAAAGCGCTTTTCAACTGATCAAAT